GAGAGGGGGGAACCCCCCCGCCCCTTGGCGGGGGGGCGGGGGAAGCCCCGTGCAGCTGCCGGCAACGGGCCAGCTGGGGAAATCGTGATATTAGGGGGATGGTCGTGTAACTCAAAAAACGTCCCCTAAAAAGAGGGGGATGGTCGTGTAACTCAAAAAACATCCCCTAAAAAAAAATCGTGCTATTGCGAAAATGTGTTAAGCAGGCACGTGTTAAATGAGGAATTACTGTAGATATACATGCTGGCAGCTGTGGACTTTCTATTAGTCAGCTACGGTGTGGCCTGAATCTCCCCTGTGGGGCCATCCAAGCACACAACTTAAAGGGAACAGTGACCAGCAGTGTTCTGCAGTATAAATCCTTCTCCTCCCCAAGTCAACAAGAATAATCCCAGCTTTACAATAGACAGATACCATCTCAGCAACCAAGGGCCTCTGGCAGCAAAGGATCAAGAATTTAGCATAGAAATGGTTCAGTTTCATTTTTGCATCGCATTATAACGAATGCAAAGATATTAGGTGCACTTACCCGAGCATAGGAAGCAACAAAGCGCCACATAAACCCAAACATTCATGGTGGGGTTGCTTTAGTTACAGAGGAACCCTCTACAGACTCTCCTCTGCCTCCATGACTTTTCCTCCCTCTTATTTTCACTTTCGTTTCTCTCAGAGGCTTTTGCAACCTTTGCAGAGACAGTTCAGGGCGGGATTTCCCTTCCCAGTCACACAAACTCTTTAAGTGCTGGGCCAAATTCTCTGCCGGCCTGAACGCCAGTGTAGGCAGTCGATTTACATCAGCAGAGGTCTTGGCACACTCTCGGGGGTACTAGTAGTTGATGTAGCTGACAAATAAGGGACTAAGATGTATTTCTCTGTTGCAAGCAGGTAGCAGCGAGCTTAGAGCTGCAGTCACACTTCATGGCAGCTTGGGGGTTGCTCCACATTAATACAGGTTGGGTAAGGCCTCCTTAGGTGCAGCTGCGGAAAGCAGGGCTACCAAGGGGGTGGAGGGAGGCTACCATTGGAGGGAGGCAGGCAAATGGGGCGGTTTGGGGACATAAATGGTTCTGGGTCCATTTAAATCAGCACCAGAGCAGTCCAGGTGGTGCTGAGCGCTGGCAGTGAAAGGTGCGGCACAGTCTGGGCACCTGCCCCGAAGGCTGCACCTAGACTGCAAGCCTCTTTCGAAAAAGCTTCTTTCGAAAAAGAGCATCTAGACTGCAACCTCTTCTTTCAAAAAAGTGAGCCACTTTTTTGAAAGAGAGCCCCCAGGCAGTCTGGATGCTCTCTTTCGAAAAAGCCCTGTTTGCATTCACGAACACCTTTTTTCGAAAGAGCACTTTCGAAAAAAGGTGTTCTTCCTCGTGAAATGAGGAGTACCGTCGTCGAAAATAAAGCCACGTTCTTTCAATTTAATTTTGAAAGAACGCAGCTGTAGTCTAGATGCAGGTGAAGTTTTTTCAAAAAAAGACTACTTTTTTCAAAAAACCCCTGCCAACCCTGAATGATCAGAAATCGTAAAATCGATTTTAAGCCCAGTGAAGTTTGTTGCCAGCCCTGGGGATAAGTATCATCCAGCAAGGGGCAGATTAGGAGGCCATATCGTAGACACGGCACAAAGAGAAGTCACCATAAAACGTTCCTCTCTCCCGTGCTAGGGTGAGAACTTAGGAGAGAACACTCAAACTGCCAACCCTGAGTGATCAGAAATCGTAAAATTAGACTACTTTTTTCGAAAAAACCCTGCCAACCCTGAATGATCAGAAATCGTAAAATCGATTTTAAGATTACGACATTTGAAAGGTAATAGAGGTTTGGTGCGTTTTCATTTGCCTTCTGGTTTTGCAGCCTTTAAGGCAGGGCTAGGCAACATGCAGCCCGGGGGCCGGATTTGGCCCACCTAACACTTTGATCCAGCCTGCAGACTGCATCTGGCCACTTTTATTTATATTCGGCTACCCATGCCACCAAATTTCCAGGCGGTGGCTCAGGCAGCAAGATCCTATTTAAATGGCTCCCAGTTGCAGTGCTACCGCAGCAGGGACCAGAGCCATGAGCTCTTAAACAACCCTGAGCAGCTGCCAGCCAACGTGGCAGTGATGGGCCCGGGAGCCAGGAGCCCTTTGCTGTGTTTTTAATTCAAGCCTCTGGCCCCAGACAGCTCTGGGGGGAGGCTAGTCCCCCGCCCCTTCTGGGGGTGGATGTGGCCTATGGGCATGTACCAAAATTCACTGTGTCCCCCCTGCAAAAATGACTGCCCACACCTGCTTTAAGGTCACATTTCCAGGTTTTACCTCCTTCACCAGGAGAGCTAGAAACTTCAAAGCTCAGATTCTGAGACCACTGCCCCATCTGTCAGCCTCCCTCTGTTGTCTCTTGTCTGACACTAAGATTGTGAACTCTTTGGGGGGCAGAGACCTCTATGTTTGTACAGCACCTAGCACAAGGGGACCCTGGTTCTGGGCTAGAGCTTCTAAACGCTATAATACGTAACGTAAATAATTTTCAGATAATAACATGAATCCAGCAGCTGTGACTTTAAGAAAAACACCAAACATAGTGAGACTTGCCAAAAAATCATGGGTGTCCACAACACGGATAATTTAGGGCTGGAGTTTCATAAATAGCTTAAAAATAAAAGCACACACTTCAACTTGATGTCTTCAGCAATCGCGCTCGGAAACGGATAGCTGAGGAGCAGTTAGAAGGGTCAGGGACCATTTTTTAATCAATACCATGAATCTTAAAGGGATAAAGGAAAGAGGGGAAAAAAGCTACAGGAAGACTACATTGCAAATGACCCACGTAGTAGAGCAAGAGTCTCAAACTCCCAGCCCATAGGCCAGTCCCCAGCTGTTTCCTTTATACCATGTCTCAGTGAGCGCAAAGAATGAGCCTTTCGATGGCGATAGGTCAGCTGAGCAGAACATGATTGAACAGCCCTGTGAAGTACTGCTACCATGCTTCGCCATGGGGTTTTCAACAGTGCTCAAGCACTTATAGGGAATTGCTATCTAACGGGGTTGTGCTGAGGAGGACCAAGAAGGGGCTTTTCTCAACCAATTACAGTATCTGGAAGAAAATACAGAATCTTTGTTGGTAAAATTTGCAGATTACCATGCCACACGTTTGTGTATAGAACAATGGGAACATATCCATCATACAGACTGACCTGGATTGTTTATGGCTCATTTGAACTACCTGCATTTCAATACAGCCAAATTCAAGGTCACACATCTGGGCTGTGTCTAGACTGGCCACTTTTTCCGGAAAAGCAGCCGCTTTTTTGGAAAAACTTGCCAGCTGTCTACACTGGCCACTT